ATCTATCTATCGTTCCATCGCTATCTATCTATCTATCTATCTATCTATCTATCTATCGTTCTATCGTTCTATCTATTAGGGGTGTAACGGTACACGTATTCGTACCGAAAACTTTCGGTTTTCAGTTCGGAACGCAGTTTTAACCACTGCAAGAGCGGAACTTCATTGGAAACTTTCAGTTTTATATATTGTTACTTTTGATAAGAAACAAAGTCTCATCTTTCAAATGATGTCCTTTTTTCAGGAAATTCAAACAATAAATGCCGTCTTGGCGCTCTTTGATGTGACGTGACAGATCGCTGTATAAACGCCTCAGTTCAAATGGCAGCGCGAGCATCCCTTCCTCCTTACTACTAGTTTTAACACGAAATAAACATGAATGAACATCTCACGCCTCATATAATCGCTCAATCAGTGTTTCGACCGCGGAAAGATGGCAATAAAACAGCTTGTAAACAAAATGTCACGTAGCATTTCATTTACCTCAGGCAGTAATCAGTGACCACAGCTCGTTAGTGCGCAATAAATGAATTCTAGAGAAGAGCATTTTGCGAAATATTAGACCTATATACTCATTACATTTTACTTGACCTGTTAGTGATGACTTATTATTTAATGTTTAAATAAATATTTTATGAAACGAGTTATGAGAGGCACTGTGTAAATGAATATATTTCTACAACAAATAGAATTTATATAATTTAGAAGTTAATTTAAAAACTGCATTATGTGCAATTTACATGTTTGCATAAATTTTTTTTTAAGTTGAGTGTTGCTTGTTATATTTAAAAATAAATAACAATTAAATTTAAGTTTGGGTTCTGGTGTTAAAGGTGGGGTAAGCGATTTCTGGTAGCCAATGTTGACATTTACAGACTTTAGCTGTTGCGGCGCAGACACGGTGTTACTCACCTATCGAGAAAAAACAAAGCAACCTCGGCGTCTGATCGCAGGCCTTCTGCTCCTTGAGTTGTCTCCAGTGCTGGAAAGCGGATCCGATATTTACACGGGTCCTACTTCTTGCCTTATTGCCTTCTTTTGTTCTGCAGACGTTTTCCTCTTTTGTTTTTTATCCGCCATCTCTATCTTTCTGTCGCTAGGCTGGCTAATGTCCGTCCTGTGCACTGAATGCTCTCTCCTCCACATCATGAGTAGACACGCCCCTTACTGCTGATTGGCTACAAGTTTGTTTTGCTAGTCGGCCCGAATCAGTTTTCTAAAGCGTTTTTGAAAAATCGCTTACCCCACCTTTAACTGTAACCTTATAGGCTAGTAGGCCTGATGTAAAAGGGCTCATTAAGATCATAAGACAAGGTAGATTTTTATCCCTAAGAAAATTTGAATTATAACTGAATTAATTTGATTATTATAGCAATTTGTTCAGTAAACCACTGTCTAATAAAAAAAAAAACAGTTTTATGTTTAGTTTTTCCCCCTGCTGTACCGAAACTGTACCGAACCGTGACATAAAAACCGAGGTACATACCTAACCATCATGTTTGTGTACCGTTACACCCCTACTATCTATCTATCTATCTATC